GTGTGTCGCAGCAGACAATAATAAAATGTGTCATCAGCTGAGGCGAAGGACGTGAAACGAGCAGCAACCGACTCGTGTCCAATCCGTCTCTCTGACCGCGACGTCTCGCTACGGGCTATTTTCTGCCCCTACCTCTCACGCCTCACACTTACGCTCAAATTTAATCAAAGCTGACAAGAAATCACAATTACCCATACAAGATGCTTTAAAAATAGTTAAAGAAATTAGGCTGCAGTAAATTGAACGTATGAAGGCATGGCCCAGCAGGATTTTTTGTGTGACCTCGTCATACTCCAGAGGGTTTGCTGTGAATTTTCATTTCTGTCCTTGTTTGGCCCTGCAATAAAAGTCTTTAATAGTGTGCATAAACACAAAACAAAAGCAAAACTAAATGCAAATTTGATCAAAATTATTGGCTCATCCATCTGATACGCTCTACAGTATACCTGGGGTCTGCAACCCGGGGCTCTGGAGCCACATGCGGCTCTATTGTTCCTCTGCGGCGGCTCCAAGTTTGGACCAGTACTAAGATAAAACTGAAGTTTATTGGTTGTACCAGAAAAAAGAAATGGCTAGCTTTAGCAGTTTTCCGGTCATGTCTTTTGCCAACATGTGAATGGTACATAGTACTAAGACAAGGAGTAAAACTTGTTGACTACACCGTGCTAGCAGTTCGTTAGCCACTTCTTTGAGCTCAGTTCTAGTCTTACGATGTGAACTTTTTTCAAAACCACCAAAGGTTTTAAGGGTAATGCCTTTAAGGCAAGTTGCTGAGAAAAAATATGGCAAGTCAACTTGATAACAATAAACATTAAAGAAAAAATAACTAAGTAAATGGAAGTATTTATTTTCATTTTAAAAGTTAGTTTCATACCCAACAAACTGGCCTAATTTTTAACTTTATGCTTTTTTACTTAATAATAGGATACATTATGAATTATTTCCACAAGTAAAAGGAAAACTCAAATAAGCCTGGACACTTGTGTTTGAATTTTCATAAAATTGGTAAAAATAAATAAATAAATAAATAAATAAATAAATAAATATATAT